GATGTGCCAAGTATAATAGCAGTTGTACTGAAAATTATGAAACCCTTCTGCTGAATGGCATATTTTGCTCTTGGCAAAAGAAACCACACGGCACGCATTGCTCAAGACTTCTTCGCCTATCAGATTGCATTGCTACCTTGGCCTCCCGATCTCTCGTCTATAGAAAACGTCTGGTCGATGATTGCAAAACAACTGGCCTGGAATACACCACCCGCTGCTACACCAGATCAACTTTGGCAAGATGTGGAAGCAGCATGGAATGCTATACCCCAACAACATATCCAAAGCCTCTTTGACTCAATGCCGTGGCGTGTAGCAGCGGTTATAGCCAGCAATGGCGGTAACACTCCATACTGATTCCATCATCATCCTCATTTTGCAAGAGACTGTATTTTCAATCATTTGATCTTTGTACAACGCGTTATCTCCCAAATAAATTTGGCTGTGATATCTGATCCTTCTTGGTGATGCATTTTGGATGGCCAGCAGTGTAAAACACAACTATTTCATTAGCGCTGGTACACGACTTATAAAATGGCGGCTTTCAGTCACGTGATAAAAATACAATGTTAAGTAAACTGATTGGTTAAAGCGTAATAGCTGTCGATAGCGTGGAACCCAGACGCAACTCGACCGACTAACCCAGTTGCTCCGTTAAGCCACTTCGAGCATTCCGTGAAAAAGTCAAATATACAATTAAAAACTGTTGCAAAAGAAACGCCGATACAATGTATGGGAATGTAATCGGCAAACGCCAACGACGTCATATACTAGACCGAGATTCCAAAAAGTTTGCCACCCCCGGTTTAAAGCCGATGTATGGTAAGTGTTCCGCGGAAAAAAGATCGAGAACCACGGATCTGGAGAAATTCGAACGTCCTATTCAACCTGACAGGGAGACGTTCGGTGGCTATCGTTGAGGGGAGGAACGGTAGAATTTGAACGCAACTAAACGTTACTTTTCGCGGTGGATGGAGGAAACTTCGCACGAGCATATCCGTGTATCCGACGGCCGTTTATTCTCCAATAAAATTCTATTTATTTTAATTGTAAATTGCTCGCTATTAATTATTATTACAGTGTTTTATGGCACCGTTTCGCCACAGAATATTCTAACGTAATGTATTTAAGTTATTTCGTGCCTCTGGCAGTCGGAACGAAATTATATTTTACCGCATTCTGGTTTAGAAAATAATACATTTAATCGAACGGTAACATCTTTATTCAGAGGGGTAAATCTCGCGAAGTGTCACGTATACAGATATGGTTTCTTTGATATTGTAGTACTTTAGGAAATGTCCACATAGGCGATAAAACTAATGCAACTACTAATTTGATTAGTTTCGACGGAGACAGCGAGTGATAAGGATGCTACTTATTTTAAACCATTTTGATGGAGTATATTACGATTGCGTATCGTCAGAAATTATTATTAGACTGGAATCTGACCGGTTTTATGTCGTATAAAACTAACTACCGGTACAAGTTTGTTTAAGACTCGCAAAAGGCCTACCGGACGATCGGGAACAGTTGTCCCTAGCGCGAAAACGAAGGCAGCTGCCCAGCCAATTATCTAGTAACTTAACTATCTTATAGTCGTCAATGCCCCTTATATTCGAGCTACCGTGCCAAATTCGGTTCCTTTATCTTCACCCCGTCCTGCGATATTGGCGCCTATTTCGCTTAATATCTCGGGACGGGGCGAAGATAAAGGAACCGAATTTGGCACGGTAGCTCGAATATAAGGGGCGTTGACGACGATAAATTTGGGATGTGAAAGGTCGAGGGTGGACACCCGTCATATCTCGCAAGGGTCGGACTTAATGAAGATTTTACTGGCTGTTAGCATTTATAATGTTTTATAAAATTCGTCATAGATGTCGCCACATACTTATCAAACTATAAATTGTAATACAAATGTTATTTTTAAAATAAAATCTCGTAAAAGCCGCGAAGTTACGCAACTCGTTGCTAGATTGTTTTACCTTTAAAGACTATGAAAAATCAATAAATGGCAGCTCGGGGCTTACTAGGCCAACGAATTCTTTTTAAGTTTCCAACACAACGCAATTGTTTTAAATATTTAGTTAGTCTTTACCTGCGTGGATTGTCGTGGCCGCACAATGGGGACCCATATTCTAATCTAACCTATTCTAATGAATTACTAAATTATGAAATTTATTAGAATAGGTTAGATTAGAACGTGGGTCCCCATTGTGCGGCCACGACAATCCACGCAGGTAAAGATTAACCAAATACAGTAAAATGTATCTAATACCGATCACGGCATTAATTAAGGAAAGACAGAGGGACGACAGTGGCCATTTATAGGTCTACAATTTTTCCAGCCAGACAAAAGAAAAGTTAGACAGATGGATTTAAGACAATAATTTCGCCAGAAATAGAATGCTAGGGCCGCATTTTTAATCGTTGGTAAACTAAAAAGGTTATCCCAGACGACGACGACAACCTTCGTGAATACGAGAAGTCAAGTCCTTTAGTTTACATTATTTATTTATTTTGTTAAAGGACAACAAAAGCTCCATCCCAACCCAGAAAAAGTCTAAATAGGAAAAATAATACTCTTACCGTGATTGAGGCCGGTACCGCGTAAGTCGCCGATCTACTACGGATCGTCTCGGATCGGATGATTTCCGAATAGGAATTAAAGAATGGTCTCTTAATCCCAATTGTAAAGATTAATTAATTTTTTTCTAAAGATTGGTAAAGTAAATTGTTCGAAAGATTGGAAAGAAGAAGAAAGTAGTAAGAATCGTTAGTGTAAATATGTAAATGAGTGGAGAGGTTGTTTGTTACGTCATATCAAAAACCTAGTGGACGGAACAAACGAGTTTCGGAAATCACTCGTCGTGTTTTGTTCGATTTCCTATTGTAAATATATTAATTTAATAAGAAGAATAAAATTAATGCGAAATGATTGATCAATTATTCGACAATAACCGAATTAATTATTGTCATTATAATAATAATTCGGCGAAGACCCAGACTGGAAGAAAGGAAGAAGAAAAGCTAGAAAAGGAAATTGGAAAAGCGAAGCAGACAACTTATTCACCCTTTGGAATGGGTGGTGATAAGATGAAGCGAAAGAATCGGAATCAAAAGAGATGAGAGTTTCAAAATTTTCATTAACTGTTTTATATATTAATAAATTGTCGTTAGTGAAATCAAGATTCCATTCGTTCGGTTCGACCGGATACAGTCCATCATTTCTTGTATTAAAAGACAAATTACGAAGTGGCACAGAATTCACTCCTCTCGATTCTCGTAATATTAATAACGACCGTACAGTTCCTGAAAAGAAAGCGAAAAAGGAAAATCGTCGATGTTTTGCTGTCATTTTTTAATAATTCAGAATAAAATATCGTAATATTTTAATTAGAAAGACTTATCATCGTCTTTGGAAGTTCAAAGATTTTTATAGAAATTTATATTATTAAAATTAATTTGATTACACTACAAAACTGATGCCACAAGTTCTCTTTCGCGTCTGCATAAAGCGAGAACTACGAAACGTGATAAAAAATCGAACAGTGCGAGATTTCGCCAGATAAAATTCGCTACAAACTTTCGCTCGCTCCTATTCTAGCGTCTGCGTGGCCATAGCCTTAAAGGTATGCGCTAAAACAGTTTAAGTAACTGTTCTACTTATATATTCTTATAAATTTTGTACATTATAATTATTGTTTGGCTCGATAAATCTCAATTCGAAAGTCCATAAAATCGGAATTTCAAGTTTCCTAGGAACTTCTCACGGGCGAATCATTCCGTATATATTGGGCCTGTAGGTTTGGTTATAATGGACCTTCCGGGCCATTCGCTTCCACCCGGTTGACCCATCCACAATGGGCATCGAAAAAAAAAACAGGAGGAGAGCCCACAGGCAGAACGAGTTTAAAAACACAGAATTTCAGATATATAGTCTCTTGTTCGAAAAACAATTGGGGATTACTCGGAAATCATAGGACTTCTGTGTGACCGTTTTCAAATTTCCAAATAAAAGAGAATATCGCATTAATAGATTATCATAGGCAACACACCGAGATCCTAACTTATAAAGGCTTATGAATAGCCCCCTAAAATAACCCCTATAAATTATTTAAACTCCTTGTCGGATATTCCAGAAAATAATGTGAATTAGTACTGGATCTTCACAAAATACTTAACTTTTATATTAAAGTAGAACAAAGGATTACACTCTACGTGGTTACACGTAGAGATGTTCAAACAAAAGAACACGGTTAGTTTAGATTTCCCAGAAGTTATCGAATGTAGAGAAAAACCCGCCCGCATTTCTCGACGTTTAAATAGAAATAAAAAGAAAATGGAGTGAGGTCAGAGACATAATGAAACTTTTACTCGTTAACCGACATTTAATTTTTAGAAAATCATCTCTACCCTAAAATCTAGCCAATATACACCAGACCTTCTGAGTACAAATAATACATACAAATGAAAATACTGTATAAGAAATTAATAAACGAATAAAAATAGAGTAATATTCCATCACTAATATAATCTGTTTTGCATTTCTTACGTCAAATATCTGTATTATAGAAGCATTCATTCAATGACCAAAGTCACAATCAGATCAGAAATACAACATCGAAGTATGTTTTAAAAATTACAGCAGCGAGTTGCCTAACTTTCCCGGCGACATTTACTGGCGCCATCTGTTATAATATTTTATTTTAAAAACTTTTTAAAGTTTTAACCGTTATAAAATGGCAAAAAGCTTAATTTCCAAGGTAGGGATGGGGGTTTATAAAAATTGTAAAAGCTAATAACTGGTAAATAGTCATTAAGTCCGACCCTACCGGAGATACACGCGACCCCTTTATCTCCCCATTACCTCGACATTTAATTACCAAAATTTAATGATATCGATCCCCTAATACACAAACCTCCCTGCAAACTTTTAGAAAATTTCGACAAAAAGCACGGGAGTTATTAAGCTTCAACACGGTACACAAAATTGTGCTCCACCACACACAAACCCCCGAAATTTGCATCTCTCCACGTTTCCAGGTGTCCGAATCCAAAAACGTAAAAATATTGTTGTTTCGGCTTTCTATCTTAATTAGAAATGGAGGAAGTTTTGGTGGCAAGAGATTTTTATTTAACTTTGTACGTTTTAAAAACAGTTTCGTCACAAATGCTGAACGTAGACCAGCTATAAAGCCGTCTCCGACATTAATCTCCAGACTGCCATTTTCCCATTTATAACATCTGTAAAGTTGTTCTTTCGCCACGTATTCTGCGTCGTAGTACTATAACAAATTTATTTAATTTTCGGCTGCCGTTTTACGTATAGAATTTCGTTACTATCGATGCCAGCCACGAGTCAAATAAATCTTCTGCGCCTTACTTTCCGAAAGGAATCCCCGCCATCGCGCTGGAATTCGGGTTTCGGATGGCGGAAAAAACCTCCGATCTCAATTCGGTAAAGATTTGTTAGGAGAGGGGAGGCACTGGCGCTTCGAACTCCCTTTCTTCCTGCCGTGCCTCCTAGCGTCCAATTTCTTTCGGAATAACTTCAGGATGCCCCCCAGCGAGTCCGGGGGATAGTCTGCCAGTAGCCTGCGGTATTCGTTGTATTCGGGAATCTTTATCCCTTCTCGTCGGGCCAACGCCTTCGCTCCTCTGTAGCCTGAAAGAAGATAAAAGGAGGGCAAAACATAGGTTCCACTCGAGGAAAAAAATTTGCAAAGGAAAACAGAAGTATGTGAACGAAAACTTGTTTACATTCTACGAAAACGAACAACCCTTTCGCGAGAAACGGAAATTCATAGGAATGACATCGTCCTCGGTGGTTACCTCTTCCGTGTCGATCTAGGACTAGGCGGGCCATCTTCCCGAGTGCCAGTGCCAACCATGCTAAATTTCCTCCCCTGCAGCAATTACTATGGATTATCGGTAATCCATAGAAATTGCCAACTATAAAACCGTTACCGTGTTTTGTGTTTTACATACGTTATGGTTTGTTCTACGTATTGCATCGGTTTGTTTCCCCCGAATACGGAAAAGGGAAACAAAACGGTGCAATACGTAGAACAAAACATAACGGTTTAACATTAAGGTTTCCCTTAATATTTTACGGCCCGTTCCCTGTTGCGGATACGGATCGCAGTCTTTTTATTACTATAAGAGAACAAGAGTAGAAGCATACTTACTCGGCCGACGACAGAAACAGCAGCAATCGAGAAAGTAGTAGAGATTGCGTCGCGGGTGGCGAACGCACAGAAAGCAGCAACGACCCAGAGGAATCAGCAGGAGGAAAATCAGGGCGGAGACTAAGACGGCGCCCACGACGACGTAAGTAACGTAGCGCTGTATTCCTCGGTCCAAATTCTCCAGGTCGGCGACGAATCTCTTCTCCGATCCCGCCTCCTCGTAGTTCTGTCGAGAGACCGGCGTTCGTCATTCGAGAGGACCATCTTCCGGACGCCGTCAAATGCTTCCGAGATTAAAGGGGAAATTGCGTCCTAACCGCTCTGTAGCGGGAAAATAAAATCGCTTCCAAACGCCAACGTTTCCAGAGTATAAGTTACTTTTCCGTGACGTCACAATGTCGGACTCCAATATTTTACATCTCGATGCTGTCGATTTCGGTAGTGTCTCGCCCCCGTACGTCACACTTTCCTCGTTAACGAGAGTGTCGTGCCGGACATCTAACTTGGTTCTCGAGATTAAGGAGGGAGGGAATTTATCGGTCTCCGATTTTAAAATTCAAGCAAAAACTGAAGATACGAAATGTCTTCATACTTTCGCCCACTTCACACACCTCGGGAAGGGTCTTGCCGCGGAATCGGCCTTTTATTGTAGGTTCTTATTCGCCTCGATACGTAAAACACGTAAGACAAAATTCGTAACGAAAGACAATGTCGTAAGAGTTTGTTCCCGAAATCCGAGGTGGACGAAAGGACGACTTTTTACAATATATCTGTCGTCCCGACTGCCATCATCACCATTATTATTCAAAAACAAGCTACGCTTAACCGTTGATACATTGTCGATAATTAATTTAAAATCGCTCGGTCCGGTGCACTCGAGCGGCACTCGACGGAGCCAACAGAACACTTATAGCGATATTGTCGGAACGTCGAATACGTAAGTATATTCCGGTAAAAAATCTCTATCCCCGTTGGGTGGTCGACCGCGCGTGACCTAAAGCGTACCGGTATCCCCGAACGGGCGCACCTTTCGATTCGAGTATACCGGTACGTGCGCGGTTGGCTTAAGAGGTCTTTGAGGTCCAACCTTCCTAAATGTATGACAAAACCGAAGATTTCAAATCGAGCGTATCGAATGGATCGAGAAATCTTGAGAATCGCGATTTATAATACTTTTCCGACCGATAGATGGCGGGCGAACGTTTCGAAACGTCGGGCTGGCCTGGTCCGAACGAAATTCCGATTTGTTAAACTCGACGAAAACTTGAAGGAAAGACAATTTTAGTTTACTGATTTCTATTTTATTTTGGTTAACGGACTAAAATTTTCTAAAAATCGTACACCTATAAATTCCCACCGGCATCTCGAGACCGAATTCGACGAAAGTCCAGACCGGATGCGGAAACTCAGGGGCAGGAGGCCTCGGTTAACTACGCACAGAACTTCCGGTGCGGACCGGAAATCACGTTATTTCAATTCGAGAATTTCTCCAGAACGGAGTCGGATAGAGGACGGCGCGACTCTCCCCAGTTAACGGGTAAAGCACGAGGCACGATACTAGCGAGATTGCGGCCGAAGTTTTCATCTGTAAAACGTGAACGTCGAAAACCGCTTACAAGATACCGGCGCTCGTCGTTCACGTTTTACAGATGAAAACTTCGGCCGCAACCTCGCTACTAATAAAATCACAGTCGATCGTATTACCCGTATCTTTTGCCCCTAAATGTACCGCAGAGGGCACCTAGCGGCCATTTTCAAAAAAAAAAAATTTAAATTTATCCACGCACACTGCCTGGTTGTGAATTCTTCTTACCGTCTTCCGAAGTTTAACGAATCGCGAGAGCTAAAGAAATGCGCGGTGGTGGGGACTAAATTATTTACTTACAGAGGTATATTACTCTTCGACTAGCCTTTAAGGGACGAGCTCCAATTCTATTATAGACTTCCGGATCCCCGGCCGCCGTAAGCCAACCCGTCCTAACGTACGGATGATTCCGGATTCGGATTCCACCGGGCGTTTAAGACGTCGGCCTACCGCTGAAGGGGGGGGACCCGGAATGGAATCCCGGCCGCCCGTACCGAAGACGGGAGGGAGAATCAAAAACCAGAAAGGTGTGGCCACCTACGTGGGTTTCTAATGGCGAGATCACGCGAAGGGAGCGCACCGAAGGCCCGCGCGGCGTCCGGATTTCGTCCGCAAGCGCGTACTCACGTTGACGTAAGTCCCGAGAGGCACGAGATGGGTTTCAGTGTCTTGTCCGCTCGTCTCCTGAATGAGAAAAAAAAAGTGTTAAATGCCACCCGCCGAACGGACGTTGACTTTTGAAACCGGGATTAACCAAACCCAGAAAATCCAACCGGCCCTTACAGCTATGGGGAAAATTTCCACCCGCTTTTCTTTTATAGAGCTAGAGCCGAGCCCGATCTTCTCGTTTACTTAACGACCTTAGTTTAATATTTCCCAGTGGCCTTTCTGGCGCCGTAGAAATAAGGCCCTGGGCGGGGGCCAGAAACGATGCTCGTTGCGAATAATTAATTTTCCGCTACGTAGAGCCACCCGTGCCGCTACCGTGCGAGACCCGTTGAAACGCGTTCGGAAGCCAGGATTTCAATTTTAATTTCGTAAAGGGGATGAAAACTCGGGACTACTCATTGGTATTGCCCGAGTGTGAAGAAGAGTAGAGGAAAGGTAATTAAGGGAAGAGGCGAAGGGGAAAAAGTAAAGCGAGATAGGAAAGGGGATGAAAAGGGAAAGTTTCGTGGGGGCACAGCCTGTTTTATTAAGAATCAAATAAAACATACAGATATGGCTCCTGGCTATCAAATACAGATGGGCGACGAAACCCGTCGGCGACGTCGCCTGCCGAATTTTTCCCGTCGTCTCCGGCAGGAAGCGCTTTCGAATTTAGAAATGGCGCGCGCGCAACGCTTCGGCACGAACTGGCAATCCGAGTTTAACTATTTTAAAAACGAATTTCAGGCCGTAGGAGCGAGAAAGTACCGGAAACGGAAATCGTCGGAAGCGGATTTACCTGCGGTCGGCTTCCCCGAGAGCGGGCCTCTTTCGCCATTCGAATTAGAAGAAACGCCACGGCCGAAAATCGCATCTTTCGAAAATCGAATACGTTCGAACGACGGAAGCGCCGTCTCGGATTTCGTTTTTTGCGACGGGAAAGAAGGGGCGATAGGCTAAGGAAAGAAAGTGCTTTATTCGCTGGTCCGAATATCTACACACGAAGACTTCCCGCACGTCTATACACAGAATGATCCGGATGAATCTATGTACAGGATGAGGGATGGAATGTTTCGGGGGACGGCGCCCCCCTCCGGATTAATAAATAAGTGAAGAACGGAGAGAAGCGTCGGGACCCGCTACAAACTGTTGTTGTATAGTCGGGGATCGTGAGGCGAAGGAGGGTTGCTGTAGCTGTTTCTACTGTCGGGTCCGGAACACTCGCTGGTGGTGTACGAGTCCATTTCCGCCATCTGCCTCAGGCGCGTCCAGATGTCCAGGGTGGACGAATTGGGGCTGGAAGGTCCGCTGCTGGACACGAACGACGGGGGACCGCTCCAAATAATACCTTCAACGAAAGATTTCTGGTTAGAAAATGAGTGCTCGTTCCCGATTTTCGCCGGGTTTACAAATCTACGGAAAAGGTCGAGTCGCGGGAGACGGGTTACGGGGCGCGCGCGATCCGTCGCCCGAAGGACAGAAGAATCAGTAAAACGCAAAAGGTGTAAAGAAATATTTTATTCGTTTCATGTAAAAAAAAGCGAAGCGTCGACGTCTAATTACAAAAGTAGTACTTTCTGGCGTGACTGGGGCAGTTTTCCGCTCGCGTCTGGACACGACGCGTCACCGCTTTGTAGGACTTGGACAGAATCTTGGACGCGTATCGATACTTACTGTTGGAAGGAGAAACGATGGGCAGGGCCACAGGGTGATTGTTCGAATACGAGTGGATGGAAGAGGCGCTGTTGCAGGGCACCGCCTTGTTCGACGACTGCAGGGGCAGGCGGAAGGAGGCGCTGGTCATCCTCTCCAGAAAGCTGTCCAGCTGACACAGCGACAGCGCGTTGTGCAACGTCTCCAGAGGACGGATGGTGGGAACGCTCATGAAACCTTCTGCAAACAAACCACAAATAAATAACGGGCACCGACGCCTGTCACCGCGTTTATTCCGACGTTCTCCTTACGAATTAGGCGCGCGAGTTATCGCTTTCCTCGCCCAAGCCGGAAGTGGGGAGCCCTAACCGGACGGGACCCCACTCTACCGGAAGTCGGCGGAAAACGGAAGAGGAAGTCGGGCGGTCGATCTATACGAAAACGGACGAATTCGTACCTGGAGCGGTGGGCGGTACGGCGTTCTTCAGCTCGGGAGCGCTGGAAGATCCGCTGATGATGGCCGTGCTGAAGAGACTTCCCGACGAGCCTGAAAGAGCAAGCGTTTAGGATGCGGTTACGAAGCTTTTTCGCAGCGGGAATGGACGTCTCCTAAGGATGGATGCAAGCGTGCCGCAAAAAGTCGGCCGAAATCGATCTTTTGCTGTGACCAATAATGGTTCGTTTCGCATTCACGCGAGAACAGAATGACGTACTTTTTAATGGAGAAAAGTTCAATCAGGATAACCGAGATAACTGACATTAGAATAAAAAGTGTAGATAATAAATGTAACACGAATTCTACACAAATAATCACGTTTAATTCAAATGGCAAAACAGACGCATCTTACACAAAATAGTATTCTTAATCGAGGAATAAGTGTATTTTGAACACCAGTTCTTTCTCGATGTAAGAAAATCTCTCTACTCCAAAAATCTCGTGTGGTCGGGCTGCAGCGCGGCGAAAGTGTTAATTAATATGCCATTCCGCGCTGCACGCGTCCATCCACCCTAAACTGGATGACGTCACCGCACTTTCGCGAAAAAAAATGCACCCGTTATTAACAGGGTGCCGAGGCGTAGCCGGCCGAAAATAGGGGCACCTATCTACAATTAATCGGATTCGACCTATAGCGAAGTATCGGGTTCGCGGTCCACGAAAATTGAAAATTTCCGGAAGGCGGATGCAGGAATTTCGAAAAAGAAAATTTTAAGGAATCAGCGTCGGCGGGTGAAGATCAAGAAAGAAATAAAGCCGGGAAATGGGAAGGGAGCCTTTTGCGGCTAAAGACACCTGGCAAAGCTAAAAATTCGGTTTCTACCGAGGAAATATCCCGGCCGGATCCACAGACGCGCCTGATTTATCCCCAAATCCGGCCGGCGCTTCGAAGACCCTAAAAATAATCCCTAATGGTTCCTATTTATCCCACCCAAGATTACTATTATTATGTTTTGTTACTGCGATCGAATTTTCGAACTTTGTTTAACATTCCTCCATTTCTAAACTCCGCCAAAGACCATTTTCTAAGAAAAAAAATTCCGGCAAACTGGAATTCTTACTCGACGATCCGAGTCAATCGCATCGCAACACTTTCCCTTTGTTCCCCTCTAAGTAATTCGTAACTTCGCCAAAGACCAGACTTTAACTTAACGTTACCCCCGAGAAGGAAGAAATAAAAAGGAAATCTTACCGCAAACTTTGGGCAAGTCGGCAGCGCTACACATTCGTAAGTAATTACTGAGCTGTCCGGGAATGGAATGTCTGTGACGGTGAAATCCTTCTAACGAATAAATGCCAGAGTTATTATTCTCGTTTTCCAAATGAGAAAAGATAATCATCAATTCGTAAAAGATGGAAAAAAAAAATCTTTAAAAACTCCCGATTTACGTAGGTAGAAATGAATTTAAAGGGTTACGTTTTCAGATTGCCGTTCGACACTCCGAAAACGATAAAGAACACCAAAGCGTCTTCGCGGCGGACGAAGAGGAGGAGGAGAAGAAGAAACGTTTACAACTACTTTTCATTAGTACGGAGAGGCGAGGAGCTCACCTGCTACGTCATCGTCGGTTTTGTTAGTCACGGACACGTCTTCCAGACTTTGGGTGTGGGGACTTTCTACAATACAAAAGACATGCAAACCAGGAAGACAAGTAAACAATAAAGATGTAGAGAGACAGACAAATTCAAAACTCCGAACACAAATAATACGAAGCAAAATCGAATAATTTGGAAGATGTTTTTTCGGTCTTCCTTTATTCGACTTTACTAAACGTAAAAAATAAAAAAAATATATATATATATATATAAAATAACTTTTAAAAAGTTGGCAACTCTAGTGTTTATAGAGAACTTTAAGCTTATTTTTGACCCGAGAACATATTGGCACGGAGTTTCGTTACACCCTGTACAGCGCTTTATGACGTCGAGGGGTGTAACGCAACACGAAATGAAGCGATGTATTGCGACAATAAATGAAAATATCTCAAATAATGTATGTGTAAAATTCCATTTTTAAGCAAATTTTCGTAATCAATACTTTACATTATTGGGCTGCGATTTCAAATTGTAGACCTATGAATTCCCACTGGCATCCGTCTGTCTGTTCTTCCTTAATCTCGAGAACGGNTTAAAATTAATACCAAATCCATAAAAAAGGCATAGGCGGAAGTGTAACAGCGAAACAAAAGTCCAATATCGCGGCATAAACATCAAATTAAAATATCCTGCGGGCAAAATGCTGGAAACAACGGGCCAGACCGAAGCTCTGGATCTAGGAGATGGCGCGGATTCTGCTAGAAAAGCCGCCATTTTGGACGGAGGCATCTATAAATTCAAATCTCCTCTTTGTGTGTGTGTGTGTGGGAGGGGGTACGATTTTGTTCACCCTGTTTAAAGCTTAACTCCCGTGATTTTTGTCGAAAATTTCTGAAATTTTGCAGGGAGGTTTGTGTATTACGGGATCGATGCTATTAAATTTTGGTGGTTAAATGTCGAGAGGGGTGGGGACATAATAGGAGTCGCATCTACCTCGAGTAAGGTCGGATTCACTGACGATTTGACTGGCTATTAGCATTTACAACTTTTTATAAAACCTAACCGTACCCTCAAAATTAAGCTTTTTGCCATTTTATAATAGTTAAAAATATAAATTTTTTAAAATATGATAATAGATGGCGCCACCAAAATTTTTAATATTGCCGGGAAAGTCGAGCAACTCGTTGCTGGTTTATTTTATTTGGAAATTCCTCGTGTCGAACTGGCGCTAGTTCTAATGACTATCTTTTTAACGTATAAAAATAAATTGACGGTCAATTTTTTTCCCAACGAGTTTAGGCGGTTACGTCAATCGAGACGTTTCCGGACACGTACCGCAAAAACACCAGGCGTTACACGAACCGAAGAATCCCAAGAAACATTACGGCACAAGTTAAGAAATTAATTTCGACACCCCGAAATTAAACGATGGGCGCTCGGTTTGTACCCTACACTTCATACTTAGAATACATTACAAATAATACCACGCATTGTATTTGGTAACTTCGACATTTTCCGACGTCACAATCATCGAGTGCATCTTCCACAAAAGAGGACGGTCGGAAACACTAGAATACAACCAGCACGTTCCGAGGAATGGGAAATCCACTTTCGTACCACTCGATTTCGATACTGGACTTTTGTTAAATTAATTTCTGCCTTATCCCTTAAGTAACTACGGATCAAACAACACAAAGAAAATGCGTGCAATTTAACATTTAAGACACTACACGTGCACATTTAGAAATTACAAAAATCCGAAACACATTTACGTTATAATCGACAATTAAATTAAATATTTAACGGGTGCCGAGCTTCGTAAAGCACCAAACAGTGGCGTGTAGGTTAAAACGACCTTCCGTAAGTCGAATTTAAATGGCCAAAATGATCCGAATTCCGTTTAGAGAATACGTAAAAGTTTCCGAAGATGAAATTCGATTTACTTCGACACTTAAACTGGACTTGCCGAAGGCCATTGCGCTCTGTTATTCAATTCAAATATCAAACACATTTAAAAAGGTTAATCACTAATAATTTATAAAAAGGAGAGATACTTAAATGTTCGGGTGGAAAACGGGCTCCGTTTGTGCTTAACTAGTTAGGAGTTTTATACCTTTTTCCACCTTGGTTTTGGCGGTGACGTTTTCGCACTCCAGACTCCTGGGACGAGAAAAGTCCGACTGACTTCGCATGATGGGAAATGGCTTGTTTATCACTTCGCTTCCTGACATAAAAATCGCAGGCGTGAGTAGCCAGTAAAATTTTATCCAAAGTGTGAAAAAAAAAACATTCGCTCCGATTGGCCCGGTGTGGCGCGCAGAAACGGAAAAGTCCGGACGCCCTCTTTCGGTGGTGATGCGCGCTTTCCCGTTCGAAAAACGTCCCCACCTTAAAATGCCACCTCGTCGGGCGATTTCCGATATGAAAAACATGGCGAACGACGTTCCCGTTTCGTTCTCGTCGTCGGCGTAACCGTCGAACTACCCAGACGTCACCAGACGAAACTAAGATGGCGGCGCGCGAGTCGCTTTATTTTAATATTTTAAGCGCAGATGTCGAGAGAGAGATTTCTTACCGGAAATGGAAGCGGCCCTGGGAGACAATTCGATGGGAATGGGGTCCGAAGGTTTGGGACGAAGAGACTCGTGAACGTACAAGTACTCGGGAGACTTGTCTTCTTTCGATTCCGTTTCTTCCAGGATGGTCGGAGATTCCTGAAAATTTCCCAAAACGTCGATTAAGAAAATCCTTTCCCAGTAAATAATTAAATACCCGATGACGTATTCTTTTTTAAAAACTAGTTATGTAACGATGTATCAGCGTGTAGTCGGAGCGAGCTGCTCGCACCTCCATTTTCTAGATTACGAGGGGAAAAAGAGAGAAAGAATCATTCGTTCTCAACAATATATTTGATTTCTATTGTATCATTTAAAGGTATAAATATAAGGTCAGAATAAGCCATTAATTAACTGCTATGCCAAAGTATCATGAAATTCTGTCTATCACTATGGGTCATGGACTTACAGATCGACTCGTAGCGATCTTTATTGTAACTGTTTAAAAATACCATGTCAGTTATTTTTTTTCACTCGATGACTATACATAAACGAGTATGCTAAGGTAAAGGGAAACTGTCTACCAGATCGCAATATACTGTCATTGTTCGAAGAGTGTGTTATGGGGATTATTGGAAACATTACCATAGATGAAATGTCCCTAATAGCTATCGAATTCCACTAAAATAAACAGAGGAAGAGCCGGAGGGCGAGCATTAGGGGTATATATAACGTAGCGTATAGTTCCTAGTGAACTATTGACGAGACCTCCTTGCACTCGTAAGCTGACTCTCGACACGATTCTGGAATTAACTGAGAGATTCAAATATTTGGAGAGACCAAAAGCTGAGTCATCTTTGGACGAAGGCGGGGCAATATCTGGAGTGTTTTCTGATGCCATATAAGCAACGGGGCACCCAGTTGACTGCGAGTAGTCTTCGTTGCTTTGTTTAACTCGCTCGTTTGTTAGATATACTGTAGCTCTATTGCCATTTGGAACTGATCAAGTTCATCTCTGGATAAATAGGCTCGATAAATAGACGCTGCCACGTAGGACATAGCCTTAGTCGGCTCATTTTGACCTCTAATAATGAAGAAAAACACGACCTTTGTTTTGACCCCTATCTGCAGTTCTACAAAAGTGGATAATTTTTGACAGTTGAAATTTTAATCGGTTCACCCTTGAGAGATGGTGAGTCGTCCTAGAAAATGTCATCAAGATCAGACAACTCATTCTAGAGTTATAATGTTGACAAGGGATGCATGATGTCAAGTGTTAGTCGTCGCTCAGCTTCGCCTTGCTCCGACAATTAAAGTGAATATTTGTAAATATTACCACCTGTTATTCAAAATTATCATCACATCAAAACTATTTAATATTTACCCAAAAGAATGTTGGACCTGGGCAAAATCACGACTGCTATTGTATAAATACGGGGTCTTCCAAAACGAATGCTACCATTCATTTTGTTGATTTGGAATTACGTAATCGCTCCTCTCGCAGCAGCCACAATTCCACGGCTCCCGGAGCAGTGGAATTGTGAATGCTAGGAGAGGAGTGAATACGTATATGCCGTGACGAGAGCAGGAAGAATTTGAGTGTCGACCGCGTGCTGCACGACACATTGAGAAATTGTAATGTCCAACATTCTCAGATAATAATTAACGTAATTACGATAATTAAAATTGCTAGCATTCTTTTTGGAAGACTCCGAAGAGTTGTTAAAAAGTTTGCATTAATTTTGTTCATTTATAATTTCTACCTTGGTATTCTCAGATTTAGATATGTTATAAGAAGAAGTATGGCCACAGATCAAAATGACCAAGGAATTAATAATAAAAATATTGTATTTTCCACAAAATATACACAGTGAGTTAAAAATTCAATCATCATTCATAATTAACATCCGGATAGCGGTTAGATTGTAATTAAAAATCATTTAAAATGTATTATAAAGTCAAAAACTCTGTTTAAAAATTTTCATTTAAATAATCAAAAATAAATGGGGAACATGATCCTGTTTTGATTTTAGCTTTGTCAAATTTACTAAACGTAAGCGTTTGTGTTATCTGCAAACATTAAATAATCTTAATATATAACCTTTATATAATTATATTCACTCGCATAAAATTAAGTTATAAGTTAAAGATTACTATTAATAATTGTTATTATGTGGTGGTGTTGGAATGCATTCTACATGATATATACTTGTATACCAATGCCTAGTGCTATGCCAGACCAAAGTCCAGGCATAACTTCGGAAAACAAATGTTTTTTGTTTACGTGCTGTTTGTGTATATATCTGGGTTTAAGAATTTCCCAATTATGTGACGTGTTTAGTATGGCAGCCTTCGGTAGAGTGAAGTAGGTGCTGCTGTGAAGCCCTAATTTTCAATACTTTTGTGTAATGTGTATGGTATGACACGTGTGAGAAAGGACTACCGTTTCTGTTCTCCACAACACTACTTCGTGGCAAATTATGAGTATTTATTGATTTTTTCAGTGTATGTGTTTTCTATGTTGTGAATGTTTGGTACAGTACAGCTTATGTCTTTGATGACATAGTTTTATTTTATTTCTCAATGAATGTAATGTCTGATCTATTGTGAGGGATTGTTTTACATGTGATTATGGCATGGTTGTAGCATACTTTGGATGTGTCGTTTCCTACAACCGGTTGAAGTGTGCACTTGTAGTACAATTCCCAAGTGTGTAGAAGTTTGTGTTTGTGTGCAAGCTTTTGATGTATTATATTTACTATTTGGTACATGTCAATGTAAGTAGTCTGTGATTTCAAACCAATGTGATGTGTTGTATTGCTTTGTGCATGATGTGGTATTTCCTACAGATGTTATCTGTGAGTGTTATGTCTTCTAAGATGGCATTCTTCAACCTTTTCACACCTGCAGACTGGCAAAAACAAAAATAATATTTCACGGATTGGCAGATTAATTTTCTTAGACTTAAACTGCTTAAATGTGGGTGCTGCCATAACTGGCCATAACAAGACACTGGTTACTGTGTATTGCAAAGGCATTGCTTTCCTTTGCATGTCAATCACTCAAGGACCACCCTTAGTTGTCTGCAGAAAGGTTGCTGTTGTGTTTTGTTAATGTTGTTTGTGTTTTCCTTTGAAGTTGTTCAATAGTTTTGTGCATTCAATATATACCAAATGAATATGACAGTACTGAAACAATATATATGTTAGTTGCTTTAAATGTATTTTGCATTCAGCTGTGTTGTTAGTACCAAGCTTAGTCTATTGCTGTATTCTTTTGTTAGTCTCTGTTTTATTTGTGCATGTTCTGTAAGTTTGTAGACTTCACCCTCATCCTTGGATTCAATAACATCTCCATTTGAGTACAAAATAATTTTTCTTCAGGATATCCTTTTTCTATGTGAAGTGTTTTGCATTTCTCCAGGCCAAACTGCATTTCAATATTAGTGGGACAAACAAGGAGAGTCAGATATTTGGGTCTCCGATTCAAACAAAACTTTGTGTTTAGAGCTACATTCTCATAAACAGTTTATATGTAACATAATTATTTTATTGTATCATTAACATTATTATTACTATTATTATTCCTCATGTTTAACGTTTATAAATCAAGAGATTAAAAAATCGTGTCATCATTTCCCATTTAGTGAAAAAGAAGTCTCTATAGATTTAATGCTTTTATGTAGTTAAATAAAATTTTTATTTCTCATATTTATTTTCAAACATTTTCGCTCATGGTTACATATTATGTCACTACAAGTGAATAAGCTTTAGACATTACTGTGCATGGATGAAAAAGACAAGTCTGATATAAAAATAGGGTAACATAATCACAGCTTTTTTTTTATTGTTAATGTTATGGACAATTTCCTCAAGTGCTTGTGTTTGTTACACTTCAAACATAGCAATACTACCATATCTGAAAATAAATATGAAGAAATAGAAATTTTATTTAATGACATAAAAGCATTAAATCTACAGAGACCTTTTTTTTCACTAAACAGGAAATGATGTCATGATTTTTTAATCTCTTGATTTACATTATATGCTTTAAATGTGAAGAATAATAATATTAATAAAAAGCTAATAATACAGTAAAATAATAAAATAATTTTGTTACACATAAAAAGAAACTGAAATTACAAAAGTTCAAATCTATGCTGCATAACTCCAGTGCCTAGTGCAGGGTGGCCAACAGTTTTTGCCCCCGGGCCAAATTGAAAAAAAACTTTTTTCACGGGCCAAACCAGAGGTTGCCCTAGGAAGATTTTGAAGTGGTGTGAGATCTCATTGTGGTGTTACCCCGTAGAGACTAAATTGTAGATAGAGATCACAGATACATTTTCACATTATCTTGCTTTACCAACATTCTATACTGTACTTAAGAGATTTGTAATGGAGGGATAACTCTAAACGCACAGCGAGTTGTCAACTTTTTTTTTTGTTTGTTTTTGGGCGTCAGAATTTTTCATCAAGCTATTCGGACTTGAGTAGCTAATATTGAAAAATTAATCACGGACCGCATAAATTCATTAGACGGGCCGGACATGGCCCATCTAATGAATTTAGGCGGTCCGTGATATGACACTAGGCCATGCCTGGCCTAGTGTCTTATCCACTTGGCTATTGCTGTTCCAAGGTAATGTAGAACTTCCAAAGACTTATATGCTAAACACAATTTTCAGATGCCCGTTTTTCAGAAATGCTTCAGAAGTGGGTCCTATTATTTGGACAAGAAGCTATATGTGTTTAGAGTTACATGCTCATCAAGTTTTGTTCAAATCGGAGAACCGAACGTCCGACCCGCTCTTTGTAAGTGCGTGTAACTTGTAATAGGTGATTTAGTTGTGCTTGTATTGATGCATAGAATAGAATGAAGTAGATCATCCATGTAGTCTACATACTATTATTGTTGTGTTTGATGTTGTATCCATATTTGTTGTTGTTCAACCTATTGGATTGCGAGTTTAAGGCCAGATAAAACTAAAATGGACTTAATGAGTCTCCCTGGGAAATGCCTTGCCTTCGTGTATTTGGTTTGTTTTGATGTATGTGTCACAAAGACTAAGGTGTAGTGTTGTTCTCCAGTGTTCAATTGTATTTTCTAAGAATATAATATATGTTGAATGTATATTGTGTAGACGTAATGTATGCCAATAACTATGAGTGTGGTATACTGTTGAATGCCTTCCAGTAATCTGTATATATGTATTGGTTTCTATGTTGTTTGTGTGTTATCATAGAATGATTGAATCTATGAGTAACTGTTCTCTGCATCCTCCATATGGTTTCTAAAACTGCCTTTTTGTTGCTCAGTGAGAATGTTGTGCTGTTGTCACGGTATATTTTGTTTGTGATGTACGAAGTGAGTATTTTATATAGTGTAGAAAGGCACGCGATTGGTTCATATTGTGCAAAGTCTTTTGATGGTGGTGTGTTTAGGTATTATATCGTTATTATATTTATTATTAATAATATTATTATTATTAGTGCAATCCAAATATTCCAATAATTCAAATTAGATATAAATTAACTCACAGGCTCACTGCCCAAGTCATCAAACTTTGTCTCTTCTTCCAGTGTTAGATCATCTTCCTCCTCTTCGATACAGCACGGTTTATCCAAATCGGAGGGATTACCTAAGCCATGGTGCATGCAAATTTGTCTGTCCTTCTGCGATATTAGGAAAGGAAAGGATTTAAGAAATAAAAATTTAGTTACAGGGAAAACAGTTAGTATCTGAAATCATGCAATTTTTAATATTTTCATCAAATATGCATTTTATGTACCTTAAAAATAAATTTCTTTCTTACTTAACCTTCTCTATAAATTCTCAATGATTATTTTGAAGTGTAAAAAGTTATTTTTTAAAAATATTTTTTAATGTGCATTAAAAATTTTGAATTTGGAACCTAATTTTTTAACCTAAATTTAATGCAAGAGTCTACAAATATATGTAGTAAAAATTCACACTAATTCAGATACCTAATTCCACTTTAGTCATTTATAAAAATTGACCGTAATTGTTATTAATAACCGAAATAATTTGACACCATAGATAGGTCTGCCACAAAGCTATTAATAATTTTAATGATTCTGATATGATTTATTAGCTTCGTTGTCTGCCTATCAAAGTAGCATTATCACAAAATAAATAGGGTGGTCAAAAGTCAGTTAACTAAGATAGTTTGCTTTTAAGAAAGATCAGAATGATTTAAACAGCTGTTTGTTGGTATTAGTAATTCAGTAATTTAATCAGAAGTGACTGAATTGTCGTCGTCATCATGCAGCTGTTCCTGATTGTCATCTTTTTTAAAACAATCTTAACATACATACCAAATCCCCCAAAAAAGTTTTCTAACAGCAGCAATTATAAGAAAATTAACGATCACAGGAAATTTTTTTTATTTGTTAACAAATAATTCTAGAGTAATAAAAATTCCAGGGCCGATTTCTAACGGTAAAAGCTTTTATTATGCAAAATATCAGTCTGGAAAAATAATTTGAAATATAAAAAAAGAAATTCTTGTGCAATCCTAGTCTGGAAAATGTTTTAAAACATAGTAGAAAAAAACTGAAATGAAAATTATGTATTATTTTGTCGGGCATCCTTTGGCCTTAATAAATATCGGCTTTAATGCGGGATGGCACCGATTTAACAAATTCCGAGCAATAGTCGTCATTAATTTCGTTCCGACTCTGCAACGAATCAGCTTTTGATTCTTTCTTTGCAGTAGGTCATTTTTTCGCCTGGTAACACTTTCAGATTAGCCCACAGATTTTCAATAACATTTAAATTGGGGCTGTTTGGTGACCAAGGTAAAACTTTAATGTTTCTCTTTTTTGAAAATTCTTTTACATTTTTCATATGATGACTTGCATTATTGTTTTAGAAAACAACTTCCTCGTCCCCAAATTGCTTTCTACCATGGGAATCGGGAAAGTGTCCAAAATTTCTTAATACACTTTGCCATTTACAGTTTCTTTTAGAATATGTATTTCTTCCTTGCTTTTTGCTGATATGCAGCTCCATGTCATAAGACTAAGTAGGAATTTCTTCTTATACAAAAGTAATTTTTGTTAAAACTTTTCGTTTGCTCTGTGCCATACAAATTGTCTGGCATTGTCTCCACACCTGACACGATCTGCTTACATCTGAAAAAATAACTTTCTCCAAATCATTAATTGGTAACACTTTTGGTAACACCTTGCCCATTCCATTTGCTTTTTCATGTTGTTTTGTCATGAATGGTTTTGTTTTGGCTTTACAAAACTTGTAGCCTGTTTTGTTTAATTGGTTTTAAACCGTACAATTGCAAACATTGGCATGGCAAACTTAACATTTCTTTTGAGGTGGCTTTTCAAGTTTGTAGGCAGATGCATCCTAAGGCACAAACTTGATTCTTGCTCTTGGCTGGCCAGTTTTCTTCAATGTTTTAACACCTTCAGATTTTCTATATTTCTTCTATATTTCTTCCATGTGTAATTTACTGTTAAAACAGCACAACCAAGCTGTTGAGAAACTTCTCTCATAGTTTTCCCTTCTGGAATCAAAGTCATAATTTGGTTTTGAAAATCCTCACCGTATTCTTTAACAGGACCCGTTTTAAAGCAATGTAAAGGCAACAATAATGGAAATAAATATAATACTTTCGAACGACTAATTTGCATAAACTAATATGATTATTGTTATAGAGTGCACTTTAATGCATTTCTTTCTACTGTGTTCGAAAACTTTATATTCAAAATTATTCTTCCAGTGTGATATTTTGCACAATAAAAGCTCTTATCATTAGAAATAAACTCCAAACTTTTTATTACTCTAGTATTATTTGTTAATGAATAAAAAATTCCCTGAAATCAATAATTTTCACATAGCCATTGCTATTTGAAAACTTTTTCCAGGGGCTGCATGTTATGCAGATGCACACACAAACTCGTGGTGCTATTGTTGCTGCAAACAGAAGTTTTAAATGAAGTTTTTCCTAACTAATGGATAGAGAAAAATGGATCAATTTGGTTTCCACTCCTCTCCTAATATGACTCCTTTGGATTTATTTTTTGTGGGATGATGTGAAGACCCTGGTTTATCAAGCATTTTGCATTTTAATATATCAAATTATTATTATAAAAAGCTGCACAATAAATGCACTCAGAACTGTCACTTAAGACTCATATGTAACACCCAGAGAGAGATGGAACGTAGTGTCAATACAAAGATTTCTTAAAAAGAAAAATCTTTGAGTTTGCTCAATAATCAGAGCAAACAGTGTAGTCATATCTGTTTTCTTAAAAATAAATATCATTTTCAGTTATAATGTCAGTTATTTCTTGCACACACTGTATTGTTGAGATTGATCAACTTTTGGGCCACTCCACACTTCAAATCATTGAAACTTTCAACTTAATGGTTAACAGTTTACTAACAAATATAGCAAAAATAATTAATCATATATTTGCATAGCAAACTATTAGTGTACTAACATAGGAAAATCTAATTTATTCATATTTAACATAAAATAACATATTTATCATGAAAATTTATTGAAACTTAATTTTACACACATAAAACTAAAATTAGAATGTATTTTGTTTAAAACTATAAGCCTAACTTAAAAAAGAAAAAGTCATCCTCCTCCTAGTTTGCTGTGTTGCATACACATATTTTGTAAATAAACAAACAAAGTTAAATGTAGTGGACTCTTGTTAATCTTAACCAATTACTGCACAGAGTTGTTCAGATTAGGGCGTCGTATATAAAGAAAAGAAAGCTATTTAGTACTGAATAATTACATCATGAATTAAGAACTTTTATATTGCATTTAGTTCTGCCATGTAAATTTATGTTGAAATGTGTAAAATGTATTAATTTTAGCAATTTGTCATGTTTTTCAAAAATAATGTACAATTTCTGTTTGTTTTTGGCCGGAAAATTTATCAGAAAAATTAACGAAACCATATGCACGACAATAGAATAGACGACATTTATTTACGTACTAATTACTGCAAAATTACACAAACATATTCTGTTTCTTTTGAAATAAAAAAAAAACTATTTCCTCTCAAAAATTTTATAAGCAGATGAATGTGTTGAATAATAATGGGCAATAATTCGTTTGAAGACTATCAAGATAAAAAAACAGTAATTGTTCTGGTGTTTACTACATCCTTTGGCCTCTCTCTATTGTTACAATTGAATGTAGAAAACAATTCTTTATACTTTCTAATAGCATTTTTTAAAATTAATGTGTTTTCGGGTAGAAATTCAAACTAACTGATATAATATGAGTAATCCCTGATTTACAATGGAGTTCCATTCTGGCAAACTGGTCTTAAGTCAAATGCGACAGATAATGGCAATACTGGTGGAAGTTTCAGAGGTCGTGCATATATTTATAATATGCATATTTATGCAATGTGTGATCAGTTACTGTGTGTATGTACCGTAATACGAACACCAACGCTGTTTAGGCATGCTGTATTATGGTATTATATTCCAAATCAATGGTGTTATTTTATTACAAAAAATTCAGACACCCAAATGGCCAACCATGGTCAAAGAAATTACTGTATTTTGACGAGCATAAGTTGCACTTTTTTTACTACTTTTGGGGCTCAAAATCATGGTGCATCTTATACTCGACAGGTAACCATTTTTACAGTGAAATTACCTACAATAGTGATCCACTCCAGGGACCAACCTGTGCAGTGGTCCGTTAAGCAGATGGTCCCTCAACCAAATGACTATAGTATCTAGATTATCAGAGTAGCGACACACGAGTCATCGCCGCCATGTTCTGTTGAATCATCACATGACCTCTGAGTTTACATTAAGAAATGATGATTATTTCAGTTTAATAAAGGTATCAATTCATCCATCCGTCATATTCTTGAATAAAAAAACAAATAAAATGCATCTTCAGACAATCCTATTAAAACAGTTTTTTTCTAAATTTTTTGTCTCAAAATAGGGGTGCGTCTTATACTTGACAGCGACTTATACTCATCAAAATATGGTAATTTTTGTACTGAACAAGTTAATTGTACCCCGGAGTGATAGGCTGTTGTCTCGATTGCTCGACCATCTGGTCGTCAGTAGAAAATTTTACCACAAAAAGTAATTTACAATGATTTTTTCCCCCATTTTGTGGTTGCTCAGAGAGACTTTTAATTCATCCGTCACAATCAGCCAAATGGCAAGACTTTTTATACACAAATTGGGACGGCACAAAAAAATCTGAATTCCTGACCGGACTTGAGCCCAAATTCCTCAGAACAGCAGGCATGGGTCAGAGTCACCGCAATCATAAAACTGCCATCATATTGGTTCTTAAAGTTCCTCCATTTTTTGCCAATTATTTAGTTACTTCAAAATATTTTGTCCAATTATATATATTATCATTTATAATTAATTATTTTATTAATTATATATTACAAGAAACAATTTGCTAGTTAATGATTTTCAGGCAACCAAAATAATATTTATTTAGAAATACTTTCGGTCACTTACATGGCTATCTTCAGTTAATTATGAATACAAAAAAATGATGTAGGAAATAGATTCAAATTTAGAACAGAACATAAAAAAAAAAACTAAAATGAAATTAAGGTATTTATTTTATTTAAGATAATATAAATTTCAGAATATGACTATAATATAGGAAAAGCAATTT